TTGATATAAGCTATATTATTTATTACTATATCAATTACGTCAAATTAAGCACACGTACAATTGATCTATATTCAAAAAACAAGTATTATCTTGTCTGAAAATATGTCAAGCTGATATTCAACTTCTTATGCATTGCATTTATTGATAATTATTTTTATAACATCTTTAAAAGCCTAAACAGTTTTGTAAATAACGGGTTTTTAGGTATTATATAATTTAGCAAGTTTAATTTGGACAATTTAGACAAAATTGTCTGAAAATGTGTCAAGTAGGTATTCAACTTCTTGTGCATTATATCTATCGATAATTATTTTTATAATATCTTTAAAAATCCAGATAATTTTGTAAATAAGGGCGTTTATACGTTACATAAATTACAAATTTTAATGTATACATTTTTTTTATGAGAAAATTACATTTCATTCGGTACATATATTAATATACTCTACAGAAATTTAGCTTGTTGCTATCTCGTGCTGCTAAGTGTGCTGAAGATATTATCTAGACAGACAAATTTGTTTCTGGCATTAATATAACTTATTTATACTTTAGACTAATTATCTTTGTTAATGATCACTACATTAAGTAGAGAGTAAACCAAATATTAGCCCCATGCCATATAAACCAAATGAGACTAACCACTTGTGTTCAAACGTTAATATATTAACTCATTTGTTTCTAACTATGATAAAATATGTACTGATTATTATTTATAATCTGAAGTTATCAAAATCATAATATAATTGAAGTATTTTAATTTTTATAGAAAGAATTACATTGCATTTTAAGAAAATTTCATATGGGATGTAATATATGATCAAATTTGGAGGTAAAGTATATATATACTGTATTAAACATTTGAAATATAAAGTTGATAAAAGTGATGCAAATCGCAAAGGTAAAATTTTATTTCAATTATGATAATAAATACTTATTATGTGAAAAGTTCATAAGGAAAATGAAGATTTGCTTATTAAACTTTACTATGTTAAATTTAAAATCTTTTTATTTTTCATATATAAATATTATAATCTTTATATTTATGATTTTATATTATCGTCTATTCAAAATGCTTATCCTTCAATTACCAACTATTTTATAAATTAATGAGTAAAATCAAAATAAGCAAATCTAGACTGATAATCAATTGCAATTTCATATTTTACATCCTATTGTACTCATTGAAAAGTTTTTTAAAGATAATCAGTATTGATAATATTTCTTTTTAAAACTGTGATTGGAACGGTTGTCTTTGGTTTCTAAACACTCTCGAGTACAAGTTTATACGAATAATATTATCTAAACTGTATTTGATATAATTTAACTATATATTATATTTATCTATTAATATACATTTTATATATATTATATAAAATAATCCGATTATAAATTTTTAAGTTATCAAATGCATAAAATAATTTTCAGTCAAAATAATAATAATAAAAATATTGAACTGCCCAAAATGAAGAATATAACAGATAGTATGTTTTAGAAAATCTTTACAAATCTTTTTCTACAAATAATACATTATTTTTCCTTTTTGTATATATTCATGGAATTTGTATATTAAGACAAAACAATTTTGATATGTGGCTTGAGATTCCTATTACTCAAGGTAGAATCTTTGTAAAAATCTTTATATCAGAAATAAGTATATACACATTTTCATCGAAGCAATAATTTCATTTGATACTGCAGATTTTATTACACTCCAAGGATTTTATGTAATGATGCTGATGAAACCAAAGACTGCTATAGTATAAAATGAAAGAGATAAAATTCCATATAACTTGGTTTATATAAGTTTAATTGTAAATTATAATATTATAAATCTATGTAGGGATGAATATATTATATTGTTATCTTATAAGCTTTTTGTACGAAATATTTTTGGAAATATAATTCAAAAATGTGAAAGAGCAGTTATTTCCAGTATTTAGTCTGATCGTCTATTACATAAAAATCTTGGTTCTTCTTATCAAGTATAATGAAAATTATCAAATAGAAAATAGAAACATATACTTTAAATATTTATTATTCTTACTATTAATAACAACACATGTAATAGTATAATATTTCTTTAAACTAAACAATGATCAGAATTGACTCTTGGAATCATATGAAATTTATATACTTACATCATGGAAAAACAAGATTGAGAGTGTAGTAATTAATAATGTTTTTTAAGTAATCGTACATTCCTAAAAATTTTATAAAATTCAAGTCATTTAATGCCTTATAAGATCGCTAAATTTATATTTTTTACTTACAGTACATTACGATTGTCTCCGTAGTTACTCTTTCTGAAACAGTTCTATGGTACGATTTTATACTATTTATACTAATTATGAATGAATAATGAAACAAATTATTGATTTATACTTTTATAAAGGTCACCTGAGATTTTTATAAAACTATTTTGAAGGAAATCGCAATCTTGACTAAATATCTTTATAAACTTCCACTCTATATATATATATATATATATATATATATATTAATTATAATATAACAGACAGCTTCCAAGAATTGTNTATAATCTATAAATTATTTATATATATTAATTATAATATAACAGACAGCTTCCAAGAATTGTATAATTTTTTAAATTAAAATATATACAAATGTGTATTAAATTTTAACAAAAACAAAAAATGCTGCCTCTAGTAGTAAAAAATGTCTTTGTGTGTGTGATTGACAAATATTTATTGATTGCCATTAAAAACTGATTCCAATATTGTTTTAACTTTATAGATAGCAATATTCATTCTATTTTAAATGAAAAAATAAGAAAGAGAAAATGCATGAGCAAATATCGATTATTTCACAAAAGAAAGAAAATGAATTTTCGTTCAACAAACACACATATAAGGTATAAGTAATACAATTTCATAAGCTTGTGCCAGGAAATAAATTATTGTAATATCTTTCATTGGATATTTATTGCCTTGCATTTGCATATTGCCTGGACACAAGAAGAATAAGATAAATTCTAAATCAAATCTTTTCGGAATAACAATCTTAATTCTTTTGTTAATTTTTTTTTTAAATTAATCAAATGTTTTTCGTTCATCTTCATTAATTTCAAGAATATTGTAAATTTGAACGAAATTTATATTGATTAAATAGAAAAAAAATTTATTAACAAAACAGAAGTCGTATGATTATTTCGTAATCGTATAATTTTTTTTGCACATACAGGTGATATATTTATCCCCTTTAGAGTAGCTTATAAATATAATGAATGCTTATATTCGATACATATGAATCTATTTACAGAATTTCCATTGGAATAAATTATGCACTTTGTTTAATAATTGTATAGTAAACTTTTAATTCAATTTATAATGAAAATATGTCATTTTTATATGAATTTTATAATGATAAATCAAAAAATTTACTTTTAATATATTATATTCAGTTACTTTTTTCATTAACGTATACTTTTAAATGAAACCAAATGAAAACACATATAGTGCTCAATTTTATTTGTTTAGAACGTCTACTATTAAATATCATTAAGAATGCATCTAAATGATCATTTTTGAATATATATAACACTAATTATTCAAATATTGCTTAGTGCAGTTTATTTATCTACATATTTATTATTATAATAAGCAAAGTGTCCTCCTATTTTTAGACTATAAAATAAAAGAAAATATCTTAAATTTGTTGCATACTTTGAATACTTCTCAATAATTAGTAAAATTAAAGAAATTTGATATTAAAATTAAAATTTGCGAATGCATTTATAAAATATGCACAATTATTTTATAATTTTGAATATTCATGTATATAATTTTTTAATTACCTCCAGTTTACATATATAGAACGATATTTGAGATATCCAATGAATAGATACTATATTGCGCTACTGAAAAGTGACTTTTATAGATGGATTAAGAAAAATAGAATTATTTTCTTGTAGAATAGAGAGCTTCAAGGACCATACAGTTATTAGCTAATGTCGATAAGTTTATTATCTTTTCTCTGAATAATGTGATATTCTTCTATCTATTATTTATAAACTCATTTGCATATGAAAGTTTTATCTTGTTATTTCATTTGCATTTTTTATTATACATGGTTTGAAGTATGTAGATACATTGTGCCTTTTGTATACTGTATATTTGTATATAAAATTACCTTACACAAATCTTTGTAATAATGTAAACTAAATGCATAAATAATAAATATAAGTTTAGATATTATTTTTGTCACACATCTCATTAAATCAATCTTAGTTTTTATATTTTAATTAATTGATAGTTTATATGAAACAAATTATAATCTTACATTCATTCAAATTATCATTTTTACATATATATATACTTATTGTAGTATTAATTTTAATACATTTATAAAAGATATTTGAATAATAAATTTATTTATAATAAAATCTTGAAATATATTACAAAATTTTGTAAAAATATAATGTCAAACCGCATTAAAAGAATTGTTCACGAAGTAATGAATTATTTTATTTTAGATTATATATTAATCATTATGCATAATTTACTCGTTTTACTAATAATATTATTATTCTATTCAAATCTTAATTCATAAGATATTTGTATATTCGAATAATTGTTTAATTTCCGTAGTAGTATTTTCTTTATTAATTTATACTACAATATATATGTATCACAAATAAAAAAAAAAACGATAATAACATCTATTACATATGAAAGTAGCCTTGTGTTTTTAGATGTAAAATAATTTTTTTTATATAATTTTTTATGGAATTCTTTTCGATCCTGTCCTATTAAAGTTAGTTTTCATATTTAATTAATGTGTTAATAAAAAATACTTTTTTTGTCTTTTGTAGGATAATAAAAATCCTATTTCTATAAAATACAAACAATGACTAGACAGAATCTACATATCAAATGTGAACTTTTAATTAAACTTTTAATTTACAGCTTTTTTTAAGTTCTTTCATGTACAAATACGTGTATGATACATGTAGGTATGTTTAACAATAACAAAAATTTAACAAATTCAGAATAATATGTATTAATAATCGATGTCATATGTCATGGATCATCGATAGTCATATAAATTATATGTTAATTTTTTTATAATGATCCAAATAGAAACACACTTAAATGCATACAATTTCGAGCAAAACAAACAATACAAAATATTTATAACTAATTATTTAAAAATCATATAATCCAATTTCGACATACTATATCTCAAGTATTACAATATCGACAAGAAGTAGAGCACATGTAATGTACGAATATTTTACGTAAACATCACATTGGTAATTTAAGCTTAAGCAATAATATAATTACATTATTTTATAATGAAATGTTTCATATATTACAACATTATTTACACATTTTGTTTTTCTCCTAATACTATATATCCAAAACATATAAAAAGTGAATATAGTATTGCATTATAGACATAGTTTTAAATATATGTGACTATCTTGACTGATGTTAAATGATATTATTTATATCTTTATAGATGTATATTCAATCTAATATAGTTTCTAAAAATTATGTATATATCAAAATTGCAAATATTGTCCGTTTAAGAAAATTTGTTTAAGAAAAACTTTGAATGAATAAATATATCATCAGACATGCTTGTAAAGTACAATGTATATCGCTATACTTTTATTACGCTATAAATAACTCAAGTATGGTATGTGATTTCAAAGGAATGTAATGTAATAGGTGTCATACCAGCCATTCTTTTTCATATAGTACAAAAATAGCATCTATATGCATAAAAAAGTCCAATGATATTTAAATCACTATCTTTGTTTCAGTAATATTATATTCTAAAATATGAATTTTTTTTAATCTTATCTTAGAAAGATAAGACGACAAAATAATTTTCTTGTAATCTCAAAACAACCACTGATTAATTCAACACTCTATATATATATATATACGTAAGTATATTTTTAATATTCCACAATGGAAAACTATAAACATACCACATTACACTTTTATAATCACAGAATAGACCTGCATACGAGCCTTATAATATGACTAATAAAACACTGTTCTAGTGTAATCTGTGGAATGTTGTCAAAAAAGTAGTCATTAGTTGCACAATAGAATATATATAAAAAAAAACAATAAATACTTTTGGTTTGTAATCTTATAGTATGTATCATTAATTCCAATGTGAAATAAATCGTTAAATAATTGGTAGAATTAAATGCCATTTATCCATAGGAAAATTTAAATGCATGATATATATAATAGTAACCAATAAATTATAATAATGAACTTTTTTATATATGTATACAATTGTAGGATTTTTTTTTTTTTTCATTACAATTTAGCAGTAATATCATTCTTCGCTGTTACATCAGGGTTGAGAAATTACAAGATGTCTATTTCATAATTTTTTCCTTCTTCGATGGTATATGTCTTACTTTTTACTCATAATATAAAGACTTTGTATAATAATTATACTTTTTACATCTTAGGTATTATAATTATATATACTATTTGTAATTTCGCTGGAATAAAGTGCTTCGCAACTCCTCTATTTTCAAAAATTATAGTATGTGTTTTATAAAAAATTATGTTTCCATGTCTTTAATGAATAATATAAAGGTGTATGAGCATAAATATCATTTATGCATAAGAACGTTTATAAACAAAATTGAAAATAGCACCCCCACTATCAGATAAACCATTGAATTTTAAATATATAATATGATTCAAATATTATGCTTCAAACTTATTACAAATAGTTGGTATATTCATATAAAAATTATTTTCAATATCAGTTTTATGAGGCGTTAGAAAACACATATCAAAAATTTATCTATTAAGAAATACATTTCGTTATTCATTAAATTTTAACATCACATTGATTTGTGCGTAATTATTTACTAAATTTTTGAATATTATATATTTTCAGCCTAGTATGTTTAAAAAAAATTATCTGCTAGAAATTTGTAATATTCTTTAAACAGTTAGATTATTTTTAATAGATAAGACTTATTAAATATCTGATCTATATCTTATTCTCACTTAAAATTCAAGTTCTTCGGCAGTGCGGGAAAGTCTGTGATTATCAATTCGTCTACGTTGACTACGTCTTACAGCATCTGCTCTACGATATGGTTCTGATCTAAGACCAAGAAGTATATCTTCTAGAGCACCATTATACACTTCATCTTGTTGTAAAAGTTTCTTCTCTTGAACCAGCCTGGTTTTATTCTTGAGTTCATTTATGACAGCATCCTAGAGTGATGAAAAATAAATTAATGTTACAAATGATTGCTATAAGTCAATTTATAATTACTTTTCAAATAATTATCATTATCTTAAAATTATAATTCAGATTCATGTATAATACTGTATACCTATAAAAACCTATAAAATATAATACGCTGTCAAGAAGAAATATTTATTCTGAAATTCTATTTAAATCAATAAAGAGTTATGATACTTCCAAGGAAAGAAAGTAATAGAGAATTTCTCTCAAGCAACATGAATGCAAGCTGTGACATGCTAATGCATCTCTTCAATTTTGTTAATGATAAACATTTAGTATATATATAAATAAATATATATGTATAAGTATGAAAATATGCTTATAATTGTGAGAAGCAGGCATACAGCTAGGATAACATTTTGGTAAGCTATGAGTAATTTTATTAATAATGAAAGTATTTTATATATATATATATATATATATATGTCGAAATGACAATTAATGGAATCGTAGTTAAGTATAATGAATAAAATATAAAGAAATAATGAGACGAAAGAATAAAGAAAACTAATGAAAATAAATAATTAAATAAAAAATTACAACTCGATGAATTGTGATGCGTGTCGTCTAAATTCCCTATGAAAATTATTAATTATTTTGTTTACAGTTCTTTTCTACTTTTTTTATGGATTTGAGACATTGTCTCTTTTCTATTCGTTTTTCCTATATTTTAATAATTTAGCTTATTTTACACCCAGTCATTCTGTGTTAATATCCTTTCTCGATATAATCTCCACTGAGGCCTTCGCTTCTTTTGACAACTGATGAGGAACAAGCTGGTCGCTGGTCATTAAATTTCTCTGCTTCATTTTTCTCATCTTTTTCAGAGTTCGTTTTATATTAGCACTCCAACGGTTGCAATCATAGTTTTATATTATCTGTTGATGTGCTTGTTAATAGTGGTCCTTGGTATTCACCGATTTATTTGACTTTGTAACTATTATTTCACAATTACCATTGTGATTCTGTTCGGATCACGGAATTTTTTGTAGAACTTCTAACCTGGACTAAACTTAGTTTTTTGAATCACCACAATATCTCCGATTCGATATCTTGACCTTCTTCCATCGTTTTTCGTAAATCATCTCGGTGTTTATTTTTAATTATAGTAATAATTTTCTTCTCGCAACTCGGCTCATTTTTGCTAAATAATATTAAAATTTCTTCGTTAATAATTTCTTTAAGGTATTCTCTTTAACACACATTGGCTTGTCTATCATCAGTTCAAACAGTGTCTACTCGACGCATCGGTAAAACAATAAATTTATCAGCTGCTATGGTCGGTGGACAAATTTATTTCACTCATAAAGGCTTGACTCAATCATCTAAGTCGAAATCGGAATTATTACCCTATTCACTTGTTCCACCTGCTCGTTGCAACGAGGGATTCCAATTATAAGGAGCACTTGCTTAATATTTTCTTACAATTACTAATACTCCTGAAAAATGAGTACGATAAATGCAGTTTCTCAATCGAAAATAATTTTCCGCGGGTTTTCATTATCTAGCATTTGTTCTCGTAATTTCATAATTACTTTAGCAGCTGACATTAACTGTATTTTATATAGCCATACAAATTTGTAAATGCATCTATGACAATCAATAGATGTTTGTAATTTTTGTCCATCGAAAGCATCAACTCTAGATAATTGGTGTAGTGTATATACAGTAATGTATTTCTTTTGTCGGTGAAATTAAGAAAGTCTTTGTTCTTTCCCTTCTTCTTCGCCGCTAGAATATACATAACTCATGCAATTGTCGATAACACGTTGTATCCGATTACAAATTTGCGAAAACCAGAATTCTCGCAATAGCTAATATTCTAGTTTTTTCAAACAAATTGTACTCTTCCATGGATTTGATGAATTATTTCATTTTACATCATCCTCGATATAACATCTACATTACATCTATCTTGAATTATCTGCAAGATTCCATGTTTTATTTTTAAATTTGTTCCATCTACTATTTTAACATTTTCAATGATTTTCTTAACATTTTATTTATGCTCATGGAAAAATTTGACGCTTGCTAATAATCAGCTCCGTTGAGCATGAACTCGATGTCAGTACTAGCCTAGTTTTGTAAAGGTCCAAAATCCGTATGATAGAAACAATGTGTCCATTTTTATTTTGTACCATCCTCTTAATAAAGGTCAAAAGCATTTTTCAATAAAATATTTTATATGTACAGTGCAAAAGTTTTAGACCATTCTATTTTTTTTGTTAATATTTCCACCCCCGTGTTTTACGATAGGAATTTGTTATTTTGCATTATATCTGATATCTGTTAAACGCCTTACGTACTTCCAACCGTTACTTCCAAATAATTGAAATTTTGTTTCGTCGAAAAAAAAAACACTTTCTGTCAATCTGATGCTGATATTTTTTCGCGAAATTTATTCTGTGGCCTTCTAATTCTTTTTACTAATTAATATTTTTTTTACATCAATATATCCAATCAGTCTGACAGCCTTTAGACTTCAAAATACTGTATTCCGACTAACGACAGCAAAATTTTCCCTTCGTAATTCCTGTGATATATCTATTGCAGTTTCTTACGGATTTACTGCACACTTCCTTTTTATGATTTTGTCGACACGTTTCGAAATTTTTCGCAGTCTACCACTCCGATTCTTATAACATAACGAATTTATTAATTTATATTTAACAATAATACGATTAACTGTACTTTTTCCAATTGATACAGTCGTCGCAATATCACAGGAACTCTTTCCTTCTGAAGAAACTTTTATCACAATTTCACAGACCTGAGAAAATTCGTACGTTTCGGCTTCATGAAAGAAATAAAACAGATTTTTTTTATTGTAAATCATATTTTGAAATTAACACGGAAGAAAACGCAAACAAACCATACGTACGAAGTCGTGGCCTAATACTTTTGCACATCGACGAAATTCATTTCACACAGTATATAAAAAATACGCCATATAAAGAAATATAATATTTTATGCTATTATCCATATTCCAGATCCCTTAAATATTTGAAACGACTAATAAGAGGAAAAATTAAATATTCTATCAATTAACTGAAAGAAATGGGAGGGGGGGGGGCACTAAAACTTTTACACACTACTCCTCTACTATTGATACGCATTTTTCTATTGGCATCGTCTTCCAAATAACGTAATGGATAGGATGAATCATCTCATCTTCGACATCTTTCTAAAGGAGAATCTTTCATTTAGTCCATGCATACTCGCATCTATATGTAATTGAAAGTTGAACGAAATTTCTAAGGGTTCGAACCTAGGGGGCATTTAATTTTACATACAATGTCAAACAGATCAAATGAAGATCATTTGTGGAATTTAGAATCGCAACAATGTCTTTATCAAAGATTTTTATGCTCTTGTACATCTTTTTGTCATTCGTCATGATGTTATCTCATGGAGAAGTTGGACGTACTTCTTAGAGAATTCGTTTTTTAGCGTTCTTTTTATTTTCGATTACATCTTCAGTGTTTACTCGAAGTTAATGAACAACTTAGCGGAATCCTACAGCAATCATTTACCATACATGGTCCTTTGCACGTAATTTACTCACATGCTCGTTACTCTTTATTTGAACTGTTAGAACAAGTTTCGACAATTTTTACCTTCAATCCTAAAGCAATTCCTAATTTTGTTGGAATAACAGTTAATGGAATCGAAGGTTGTCGAAAATTAAACATAATAAATAAAATATAAAAAAATAGTTGAACGAAAGTATAAAGAAAATTAACGAAAATAAATAATTACATACAAATTTATAAGTAAATGGTTGCGATGCGTGTCGTCTGAATTCCCCGTAAAAATAGTTAATTTTTTGTTTACAATTCTTTTTTTTAATAGATTCCAAGCGTCGTCATCTTTGAATAGGCTAGCACGTTCGAGCTTGCACAACGTTTTTTCTACTTTTTTTTGTAGGAAAATAATCTAGCCAATTCTATATGCACATATGATATTGAAGTTCACGTAATTCTAATAATGGTAAAATAGTATATTACAAAAAATAGATATAATGTTATAATATCAATAAATATATGTCATACAAGCCTACACTTTAATATTTGATATTCCGAATCTATAAAAATTAAATATATAAAAAAATTAAATTTCATTTTGTATTAATCATTGCCTATCTTCATTCGTTACTAAATTATATTTTACAGCGTTTTATCAGAAGATTGAAATGCTTTCTAGTATGCCTTATAAAATATATTATTTATATAAAATATTATTTCCGAATAGGAGCTGTTATTTTGCGCGAATAATATTTGTATGCTTATATTTAAAATAGGATAATGTAATATTGTTTATGCAAATAGATTATTTTGTAAATACATTTTGTTCATTTTAAAGGAGCAATATATGTGATAACGCAATGTTAAATTCTTAATGACCAAATATACGAATAAAACTCTTACATGGTAAGCATTGTGTATCAGTTATGCTCACTTTGTAAAAATTTTAATTTTGCGGATATACTGTTGGTTAAGACTCCTCCTGACAAATTTATGAAACTTCTATTAATAAATTCATTGTCATATTTATGACAGCTCGTAATTTAATAAAACAACATAATCAATGTATAAAGATAAAAAATATTAAGCATTTAAATGCTAGAATATGTTTTACTTATGTTATATTACTTTTTCCACTATTTCTTTTTTTTAATTAATTATATTACTATATGCTAACAAATACAAACAGATTGTTGTAAATAGTTGTTAATTGTATGATTTTGTTAATAGACTTTATTTTTATTTATTTGGTAATCAAAAGTTGCTATTCCTAATCAGAAGGAATCTTAAGGATAGGCAGTGAGTTAGGATGGACTTACACGTTGTGAATTGTTTCTGTATTGTTATGTTCTGACCTCCTTCTGAGTTCATTAAGATGCCGGTGCAACAGAGTCTTGTTCGAGTTACAGCAAAATTTCGGTGACTTTAAATCCAAATAAATATGTAACAAATAAGTTATCAGATTCTGTTATATATATATATATTCTGTTTGGAAAGGCAAAAATAGGAAATACTACAAGAACACTCATAAAATGATGTCAATTGATAAAGTTATTAATACTCCCCGTAGTAATCATGCTATTTCACAACATGCAGTAAAATTATTAACATTTTTTAAAATTTACTTTTAAATTTGCCTAGTATAAATTTAAATGTTTTTCAATCTTTCCAAACTTTTTATTACAATGTTAAATATCATTTTGCTTAATAATAAATTATCAACGACTAAACAGTTAAATTGCAAATTCAAATCACCACATTTAGATGTTACTTGTGATAGAAAAATGTGAACTGACTGTAAGTAAATTTTCAAAGGAATATAATTCATGATATAGCATATATAATATAAATAAAGCCCCAATTTGATAATATGCTCATACATTGTGAAACTTGTATAGAGATGACATAACAAATAGCATAAAACATTATTTTCTTCATAATTGTAGGATTCGTGAAAAAATTGGACCGTTGGGTTGACTGGACCGGGATTCGAACCCGAGTTTTCCTGCTTTCTGGGCGACTGCTTTAATCTTTGAGCTACCCAGAGCCTTTCGGTAAACTTCCTCACGAATGCCTTTTTTTATTTTGAATGGAAGTATTCGATTCCACATAAATAATCATTTATATTTTTCAAAATAAAACTTAATTGTATCTTTTAATTATTTTTATTTTTCAATATGAAGTTCTATGTCAACTCAAAGTAGATTTTTCAAGTCTGAGCTTTAATTATAAGGCAATATAAGTGATAAAAAGCATACTTAAAAAACAGTAACACTTCTTCATAGATAAAACGACATTCAATGATAGATCCACTTGTGTTGGAATGAAAAGTAAGTTAAGAATACATTCCCATTCTTAACACGTATTAAGAATATATTGTTTTTTAAAGTAAATATGTCATAATCATAAAGCGTGCCCGTCAATAAAGAGATGATTCTATACTATTCTTTGAATTTGAGCATGCTCAATTCGCATAGAAATTAAAGTTAAATAAAAAATATGTAACTAAAATAAAAGAATAAGAAAGATAGCAACACCATAATAACATATATTGATCATTGTAATATCAACTGTAGTAATAGCAAACAGTTTGATTCTTTTATGATAAGTATATTTTTGTTTAGAGAAATATAGCATATTAATATTATATAGTATTAGTATTAGGACAGTTAAATAACAAAGCAACAAAAAAAGCAGATTCAATATGAACAAAATTATGTATATCTTTCTAATATTTGTATTATTTATTAAAAATGTTTCGATCGAAACAAGTATATTTATTGATACTATAAGCGTACTACCTTTGATGTAAAATGTGCTATTAATAAAAGTATGAACTAATTTATATGCGTGTACATATATATGTTTGTATGGCAAATTAAAATATTGGTATACTAATATTATTATAAATTTTATTTTATGTATCCTAATAATCATAATAATTTGTCCAAACTTCTAATCAATAGCACAATGTCACTAATATCCTTTTTAAGCCAATTATATCCATAAAAAGTATATAAAAAGAATATGATATATAACACACCTGTTGTTTCTTCTGATTCAATTTATTTCGTTTAATAACTTGCTCGGATGTATTTAAAGCTTCCGCAGCAGCAGCTTCTAATCTACGACGTTGTTCATTTTCTTGATCCGCTGCCTGTTAATGATACAAATATTCATATTACTGTAATCTTATTATTCGTGTTTACAACAGCGTTATACTTATATGTTAGATTAAGGATAGTACCTTAAAAGATCTTGCGAATCTAACAAGAAGTGAAAAGAAGGTATTTGCATCAGCTTGTCTGGGACTCTCGCCAAAATATTCAACGCATTCTCTAAAAGCTTCACCCGCAGCTCGAGCATCAGATTTCAATCGACGTAATTTTTCTTCTGAATTATTTAAAAAGTCGCGTAATACCGTATTATGTTTTTCTTTGCCACGCAGTTCAAATTCTTTCCTTACAAGATCCATGCCCTTTTCCAATTCATGAACATCGGTTATAATATTTTCAAGAGAAACTATAACGAAAAATGTCATTTGAATAAGAATGGTATATTACAATCAAATATATTTTGATCGTAATATAAAAAAGATGTTTATGCACCTGTTGCAGCTTTATCAATATACATGAGTTCTGAATCGAAATTAATGAGTTCTGGGAATTTGATACGTATAGTTGCTACAATATAATGTAAAAGGCACATCCTTTTATCTGTAGACTTTGTGTCTAATAACGTATCTAAACTTTGTAATTTAAATCCATAAGCAGGCCCACGTTTACTACTATTTAAATAGTTTCCAAAAGCAAGAATGATTTCTAAAACTGCTCTCAATTTCTTCGAACCTTTCACAGTACTTGATGCAGATATCACAGCATGTATTTGTGGCGTAATAAGATGTAAATTATCAAAAAAGTTCCCTATATAATTCATAATTGAAAGCTTAGTCGATATTCTTTCTACCTTTCCTAATTGCATCAAAAACTTATCCTCTTCGGTTAAAAGATTTATATTCTTCTTTTCGATAATATATTCACGGTAAGCTTTTATCTATATAAACAAAGAGTTGGTTATTTTCATTAAAAATAATATCTATCTTCAAAATTATAGCTTACATACCTCTTGATCAGTTGGAACCATGCGCTGTAATAATTCTACATTTTCAAGCGAAAGTACCTTCAAATCAAGAGCATTTACGGCCATTATTACCTTTTCCACTGGCATCTCCATCTTTCTACGTGATATTGCTACAATATAAAAAAGTGTATGTATCTGTGTAAAGCTTAAGTATATATATACATGTGTATGAAGTTTTTTGTGTACCAATGTTTCGCAATCTCGTATGTTCCAAAAGGGACACATTTTCAGGTTTTTTAAATCTTTTACTAGGAAAGCTTTGTAGGCCATCCAATTCATTATTGCCATTAGCTACATGCCCACTCATACCAATCTTGAATCTTTCTTCAAAATCGGAAAAGTCTATGTAATTATGTAATCGATCATCATCCAATTCATTGAAGATAGTGCCTCGTACTTGATTCGGTTTTAATGCGATCCAATTGAGGGTAGGTAATTTGTACTTTGTTTGTACCTAGTATGCAAAACAAAGTAATTATTTGGCAATGTCGCAATAAGGATTACAGATATCAAATCATTTGTGATATTTATAATATTTAGATGCTTTAGAATCAGTAATTATAAGTAATTTAGAGCTAGTATCGACAAATATCTGGTTACACAGAAAGTTTGAACCGATTGATATAGATACAATTTTTCTCAAAATCGGCATAAACTTTCCAGGCAACCTAATATATGAAGTATGACTTGGTATAGGTTTGATGAATATTAAATTCAAAATATTATTTACAAACAACCGAATGTATATATACTTTTCTTTTAATTGTCATTGCTCCATCAGGTGCTTGCATCATGCCAGCTGGTGGTGGTGGTACAGGTGCAGGTGGTGGTAACTTGTGATCGCCTGGTGAAAGAGGTGCCATAGGTGGTGGTGGTGGACATGGTGGTGGAGGCGGAGGAGGTGGAGCTGGCGTCAAATTATTAATTTCTTCTGACGTTGACAGTTGTTCTGTACTTAGTCCAGATGATATAGTATTCTCCGCACCGAAATTATCAGGATTGTTTAAAGGACTCACTGCACTTCCATTTCGCATATTGGCTGTTCAACAAGCAAAAATCATTACTAATTTCTATTGACTGAGATTTGTTAACTACACAGAATAGACGCATTTAAATTGGAACATCTAAATATCTCTGTTATTCATGATTGTATGAAAAAAGTTCTTGAGGCAAAGTTATACTATTTGAAAGGGGGTATTTGTTGCGGTAAGATAATCTTTTTTCGGGGTATTTCTTTTAAAAAATTTCGAGGTCTTTGATATGTTTATAAACTGAATCTTACTAATGTCTTTTTTGCACAAATTGTGCCTTTTTAAATATAAAAATATTCAGGTACAATGTTAAAAGGTAATTCATTTGTTAAATATTTTGAAAATATGTCTAATAATTCAAACAACTATAATAAGCCATATGTTTTCTTTGGTTAAAGTTAAAAAAACATAGTAGAAGGAATAGTACGAAAATTGACTCAATATTCATGGCTACCATTTTCATAAATGAATGAGCATTTTGTAAAAAATGATCTTGAGAAAACTTTTTTTTCATCACCAGACGTGTCCCTCAAATAGTATAATTTTGTCCTAAATCCTCAATTATAATAACGATGATACATATTTAAATCTTTAGATCAAAATACTCCATCTCGCAGAGTCATGCTCGACGTTACCTGACGAACTTTTCGTGAGAGTTCCAGTAAGGGTCTCCAATTCAATTATCTTATTTTCCAAAACACTTTGCCTACGCGCAGAATCTTGTTTTTGTCGTTTGAGTGCAGTGAGTTCCTCCTCCGCTATTCTACGCGCTTCCGAAACTTCTATGTATTCTATCTTCAATGCACCTAATTCAGTCTCTAATTCTGCTAATTTAGCTAAAGACTCTCGTTCTAACTCAGCCATTCTATCGTGTGCCTATAAAATAAAAAAGAAACCAAAATAAAAAATGAACTATTTCAATGTTTTATCATAAAGTTATTTTATAAAGTCACAATTACTTATTCTAACTTACATGACCAAGTTCATCTTCTAATTCAGCTACTTTTTCTAATGCCGCAGTCTTCGTTTCGCTGTCTTCCATTAAAGCAGCAACATCAAATACATTGTCTAGATAAGCTGAGATTTGAACCTACAATGATCAAGTATTATGTACTCTATTATTTCCAACAAAATATATATCCTTAAAGTAGTAATTCCCAACCTATACTACATGGGATCTTCAAGAGATACATTTTAATGTTTTAGGAGTACGCACAAAAAATTAAACAATGATAGAGATAATAATAATATCGTAATAAATTGAATGCCGCCACTTTATAATTATGTAAGGCTGCTGGTTGAAAAGAGGCTGGTCCTAATGCACGTACATGTACAAGTTGCTCTTTATTGCTAAGGGAGAAGGAAAAAATAACTTGCAATCAGTCAGCAATGCGTTAGGCAGTATTGCTATCACATTCTGTTTTTGGAGTCGCTACCTTTGTTAATCATCGGCAATAGTACTTGGAATTATGCGATTGAGTGTTTAATAAAGTTTATTATATTTTTTACTTTTATTTTTATTATATATATACATGCTACAGACCAAAAGTTTGAAATTGTTGATTTTCATAAAAATCGAATATACTCATAACTTTTGAAATAATCTATTGTTATTATATCAAATATTAACAAATTGAATTATGTTTTCAGAGATTTTAGCATCTTCTTATGTCCTCAATACTCTTGTATAGTTTATACATCCAGTTTAGGACAATGCTCGTAATGAATTTCTTTACTGATGAAACATCATTGAAACTATTACAAGTATGGAAAAATATTAAATTAGAAACACTCGGGAAACGAATTGCCAGGATATCCGCAATATGTCAGTATGTCATAAAAAATAAAGGCGGTTTTTTTATAAGAGGTACTTCTTTTTAATTTAAAGAAAAATTCGCATTCCTTGCCAAAAAAAAGAATAATACAAAATATAAAATATACTACTCACATAATAAATGTACCTCGATTACTCTAAAAGCATTCATTTTTTCTTATAAATACTCTTTTTCTCTGAATTTACGTTATGGTTCCAAACTTTTAGCCAATAGTGCATATTATTATATATATGAAAAATCTATGTGGTTTGTTATTCACACTTAAAAAAACAACAAAGACCTGTTATGGCCAACCTAATATACTATATATTAAGCCTTAACATTAATTTTTGATGTTCTTTGTTTGTATTTAACTTCTTGAATGCAATTTTTATTATCTTACATTTGTTCCTACAATCGTTTCCCCAGAAAAAAGCTTCTTTTTGTAGGAAAATTCGGTATCAATTGATAAACAAGTAAAAAAGATTGGGAACCACTTCTTTAAAGTTATATTTGTTAAAAAATGAATGAGAAATACGAACTTGTAAATCTTCGCTTTCTGTATGTCTAAGTTTCTCTAAATATTCATCGAGGCCTAACTTTGTGAATTCATACTGCAGGTGTACTCGGAAGTTCATGTCTTCCACAGAATGAACTACTATATTCACGAACTGCATGCAGGCAACCATGAATTCTATATGGAAACTATCGTACTGCGTAAAATAAGTCATGAGCGTAGTAAATCTTCGCCTTTCCATACAAATTTCTTTGAAATTATCGAACGCCGATAAAATAATTTCATGACCACCTTTCACTAAACAAATTGCCGCAAGAAGTTCCAAGACTAAAGCTTTTGTCCTGCAAATATAAACAAAATATTATGTTTACAAACTAATTATAACAGAACCTTTGATAAAATCATATTTATAAAATTATAGTATCTATCGATTGATTTGGTTACTTTATAAATTTACCTTAAACTTTTGTGCATTAAACTAAGTGCGATACAATTAATTGCTTCTCTGTGTTGTATAACCATATTAAAACCATACTGCAAAAATATTATATATAAATGACAGATACTTGAATATTTATATTTAGGTTAAATCTGTAGGTAATACCTTGTTATTCATAATGGCACGCATACAAAGTATGCAAACATGAATATCATCCTTAGCTTCGCCCATATTTAAACGAGCAACATGTCTGGATCTGCGTTTTACACTTGGACTGTCTTTAAGTTCGTGAAGAGATGGTCTTAAACATCCATTGTTTAAATGTGTAGAACCGCCTGTTTCAACTATATATATATTCTGTTTCATATATATATATATATATATATAATAATAACAATATAATATAAAACTATATATATATATATAGTTTTATATTATATTGTTATATATAAAATATAACGTTAATTTTTGGTTACTAGGTTTAGTCGCTTCTGAGATTTAAAGGTCAAGTTTGTTTTTTTAAATAGAATAAAACATTTTATTATTTATTTTTTAATAGCGGCTGTCATGGTGAGTCCAACGATATGCAACATTAAGGTATTTGAAGTCAACAAAGGTCAAGTCTGGCGAACCAGCCAGCCATGATACAGCTCCTCCGCATCGTGCTTGCGTGGTGCGTGCGTCAGGGTTGCGTCACCCTTTAGGTGTTTGACAAAGGACGGAACAGTCGGTCATAGTCAGATTTAATGAATTCCTCTATATTTAATAAATATTTACTGTATTTAATGTTGCACATCGTTGGATTCGCCACGACAGCCGTTATCAGAAAATAAGTACCAAAATATAGCATTCCATTTAAAAAAACAAACTTGACCCTTAAATCTCGGAAGCGACTAAACCTAGCAAAAAAAATTGACGTCATATTATACTCTCGCGAATTTTTCATGCAACTTTTGTTCTATAAACTTTTCTGCTACTATCATACTTTCGGAGCTATATTTTGGTGGCAAGAGTTAGGGAATCATCCTGTATATTTGAAATAAATGTATCTTAAAATAACTATATTATAAATCAATGTTTTTATAATAAAATATTAGTATGTAATATAAGTGGTCAGAATTATTCTAATTAATAGAAAAATTGTCAATATTTTAAATAAATAATCAGTATTTATAATAAAATATTAGTATGTTTTTTGTGTCAATAGATAACTCTAACACAAACTTATCCCTATTATAAATACTGAAAATCTACTTAGCATGTTAGCCAAATTGATTTTTAGTAACTTTCAATTTAAACCGTATGGATCCTACACGTCCTATATATAAATAGAGAAAATTTTATATAGCCTGAACAAAAGATTTAAAAAGCAGGCAGTAGATGACCTATGCAGCACAAAACGTATGTTGAAATACAGACAAACTATTATTTATACCGAAGAAAATATTCGTAAATACAGAATAATTTATTTTATAAAATACTGACCAAAATATTCATATTTTGCTAAAACCAATTTATTTTGCTAAATATTGATTTAAAATATTTACAAATACTGACCAAATAAATAAAAGTACTTTTGTTTCATTTTATGCAGGAGACGCGAAGAGCAAACACCAACTAGTTTAGATATACGAAGGAACTTACTGGTCTGCAATTTTTCTTCAGAATTTGTATGAGATTCCAAAAGACGTTGCTCGTGTCTCATCATAAGTAATCTGAAGCTAAGATAATCTATCAGCGCGTCCAGTCCTTGGTTCTCCTCGTCCAAGAATTCCCTTACCCACCTAAAACATTTCTATGATCATAATACAAATCCAAAAAGGCAACAAAATAATACACATGAATCCGTCAGCTTGAAACGTATATGATTTTATTGATCCGCTTTTATAATTTTTACGGCGGTCATAAGAGGACAAAAAGAAATTAAATTTTCAATATTTATTTTATGTTAGCAATCTAACTTAGTGTTTCTCAACCTGGGATACATTACGTGTTTGCTGTTTTAGAAGTAAGCAGAAAAATGAAATAACGATAGAGAGAACTTTCTCTTCGTATATATTTATTAAAAACAAATACTGCAATAAACTGTACGCAGTTCCAAGTTAAAGATTATACATTTTATTTAAAAAAATTATGTGTCCCAAACAAACACAAAAACAAACAATAAATAGATTGTTTTTGTGAATATTTATATAGTTAAATTAACTTTATGTGTATGATAGCTTTAATTTATTATATTTATGTTTTGAATTTAGAATAAAAATATACATATACAGGATGTCCCCACATAACTCTAGTCACGATTTTTCAAGTATTTGCAATAACTTGACAAAAAAAATACTTTAAACAATAGTTAGAAAATAAAGAAATTTTCATTTCTTTGCTTTCAAGGTCATCCAAAGGTCATAGTATACTATATCGTTAAATTCGTATTAATACGGGCTATAATACTGTAAAGTCAAAAATACTAAGTGCCATTTAAAAAAATAATGGTAGCCTTAAAAAAACATAAAAAAAATTGTTTTCGAACTTTTTTTTATTGCAATGTATAGTCAATCAAAACCAGATCAACCTTTGTTTAAAGTATTTTTATGTCAGGTTATCGCAAATATTTGAAAAATCGTGACTAGAGTTATATGGGACACCCTGTATATACACTTTATTGTTAAACTCATCAAAATGAATGTATAAAAGCTGTAATGTGACAAGATGACATCTGTGTAAAAATTAAATTAAAATCCCAGCATATTACAATTGTTTCCCAGTTTCTTTTTTAATTTTTTTAATTGATTTCAATTGAACCCAGAAAATTAGAAACCGCTGATTTTCTAACTATTTTAATTTTTATTTAAAATGATTTTAATTGTTTTAAAAATTCATGCATTTTATGTTAAATATCGAAATATCTTTATAATACATTTTGTAATTCATTTATAAATAGATAATTACATGCAAGGTTTCTTTTCACCATTTACTACAGGATGTAATTTATACTTCCTGATGATAATCCAACTTATTATGAGATAGATAAATTATCTGAAAGCATTGACCATAATTATCGCTCGATAATATAAAACATTTATCTTTTCTTACTCTATGTGATTCGTACGCAAGGAGATTTCCAAATCTCGAAGTACTTGGGTCGACGTTGACTCTCCGACCATTTTTCTTTTCTGAAAGAATGTAAGGAAACGATACGACTGTGGTAGTCATTAGTATCCGTCTGATAAAAGTAGCTTGTTCTGGTATAAATATAAACTTGAGCGGAACTAAAACGTATGTTTCTTATCAAAACGACAAAAAAGCTTTAAACAACATCACGCTTTTGACGATTATTTCACATATAATTCGTATGTTAATTAAATAATACAAATTATCTATTAATCGTTTTTAAATAAATCAATCAAATGTTAAAGAAAATTATAATTAAAGAGGTGGAAAGAAAAAAGAAAAACAAAACTTAAAACAAACATACTCGATGACTTCTTGACGCTTTTGGATCTAAGTATGTACGCAATTTTGCCAAGTAATGCGATGGTGGATCTTTCGCTTGCACCCTTTCCTGTAATCAATACAAATTATCATATTATATAACGAATACTAATCGAAGAATGCAAGAAACAATGTAAATAATAAAATTTGCAACTTTCTGTTCTTTTTATTGTACAATGTTCTACATACCAATGGGAATACTGTAATATAGAATTAAAGTACATTTTCCTTTTATAAATAGTTAAACAATAGTATTAAAAATTAATATCACTGGTATCTACGTCACCTCTATAGAAGCAAAAGCATAGGAAATAAACAATGAACTGCAAACAAATTTAACACTAAACCTACCAACAAATTTATAACTGCTTAAACCGTAATCAGTCAAATGATCGATTTTTAACAATAATAATATTTTTTACAATTGAATGCAAATAAGAATCAATTTGTAGTACTGACCCTTCGAAATCTTAATTTGGTTCGTAATTATAATAAAATTTATATATATGAAACCAATAAATATCAACCTTTAAATAGATAGATTGATATTTATTTAATTTACAGCCTGTTTGGCTCAATAAATGGACTTGATTACAATACTTTATTACTATTCATACATACTTATACCTACTCTTATATATAATATTTTGTTACAAAACTTTCCTATCTTCCCCGCAGAACATCTTTGAACACAGTAACATATTATCAACCTATAAATACAAATTAACAACTAATTAACAATTTTTCAAAATATATTTATTCCGATATATCCAGTTAGAGTTGATAATCGCTATAAAAAATCTAACTCGTTACCAAAGCGAGATTATAAAGTAATTTGTGTACGTCATATTAAGAGAAAAAATTAAAGGGTCTGGCCACTTCTAGATCGCTCAAAAAATGAATATATTCTAAACAAATTCATAAATTCGAAATTTTAAAACAAAATATGTTCATTTTCGAACAAATACGGCTTCAGGAATGCTGCAAATAAATTGTTGACAAAATTATTTAAAAATAGTGACGGCGCAAATATTCCCACAGAAAATCTCCGCTAGACATCCACGTAGCTGGTTGCAAATGAAGTGTATCATTGTCATGTTGTATCTAAAATATAAAAATCAGATTATTTATTAATATTGTCACTATAATATAACATGCAGATTTTTTTTCGACTATCGAGGAATTTATAGTGAGTCGAAGAAATAAATCCCAATTTTATGAATTCTCCGATAATTGAAAAAAATTCGTACGCTACATTGTAATAACACTATTTACAAATAAGCTGAATCTTTTTCCAGATGTCACATGACGGTAATACACCTACAGCCAGTTACGACGGTTAGTGTCGTACAGAGAACCTCCACGGAAATATCTATATATATTTAAATATTTTTGTCAAAAATTTATTTGAGCCATTCCTGAAGCTGTATGTAATAAAACTTATTTCATTTTATATTTTTGAGTTTATAAATTGTTTTAGAATATACCTATTTCTTGTGCAATCTTGGTTGGTTGTCGGACCCCTTAAATTAAACAGAAAAAATATGAATACATCAGTATGCGATTTTAAAGTCATATGAAGCTATAAAGAATAAAAAGAACGATATTGATAATTATAATTCTCATAAAGCTACGTAAAGAAATTTATATACAATCATTTGACCGTTTAGTACTCAATTTGAATATACTAAACGAATTTTCATTATTAAAGTATAATCCACTGAAAAAAAAAAAAAAAAAATTTTCAATCTATGCTGGATTATTACAGATATTCAGTAACCCTGATTTTATAATAATTTACTCATAATCTTATAAAATAAATCTTTTGTGTGTAATACATTATACTTGAAAATGAAAATAATATATTCAAAAAATATATTCATCGCTTCTTATATAAGTTATTTACGGTGAAACTGGATTTGCACTTATAGTATTTGTAAACTTTAATCACTGATAGAATGAGTTTTCTCTACAATTAAGAAATGACACAAACAGAATTTAAAAAAAATACAATTTTTTTGTATCAATTTGGATTATAATCAATTAATAAAAAAAGTTACAAAATATTGCAATGCATTAATATTATTGTATTCTTAGTTACATTAAGCAAAGAAAAAAAATCAAAATTGCAAATCGTACCTGTTTTTTCATAAAGAATAAGGAAAAAATTATTTCAACAAATTTGTATTCTAAACAAGAAAGTTAAAATTGATGCTTCTATAACGCGTAAAAGTGGCCTATAAAAATAGACCTGAATGAAAGCATACCACCTGTTGCAAATTTCAAACTTTCTCCCGGCTATTTTTGTTTTGCGTTTTCCACAGCCAATTGTTAATTTTGATTTATTTATTTTTCATCCATTCAGCATACTCACCTGATCGCATATGATATCCCACTTTTTCTCGTTATCGTACTGTTTCAAAAGTTTTGCTTTATCCGGTGGTAGATCCATAGATGCCTGAAATAAACAACAAAATAAATGAGTAGATCATTTAACGTTTATTATACTCATGATTACAATTAATTTAATATATGAAACAGGTTCACAGGTCAAAGTGACTAACTCTCCTTTTCGAATTTTTTTAAATTTTAATCTCAAAGCACTTGATTGTCGCTTAACCTTCTAAATTTAAAAAAAAAGTATTATTATTATTATCTCATATAATTATTAAACAACAATAATTTATTAATAATAATAATAATAATCAATAATTTATTAATAATAATAATAATAATTTTTATAG